TGCTGGGCTCCGGTGATCCTTCTGCCCCAGCCTTCCAAGTAGCTGGAACTACAGGCGTGCTCTACCATGCCCGGCTCATTTTTATTTATTGTAGAGTTGAGGTCTCGCCAAGTTGCCCAGGCAGGTCTCGAACGCGCGGGCTCAGGCAATCCACTCACTTCAGCCTCCCAAAGGCACAGGATTACAGGCTGAGCCACCAAGCTCAACTTGATCTATTTATTTACTGCAGAAGTTACTCAGAATATTGCAACTCATTTTACAAATGTATATCCATACAAAGACATGTTTATGTGTCTAAAAGTGTGTACGTATGTTTGTAGTCGAGACACAGGTGAACCTACTCTGCATAGTGGCACATGCGTGCTGGCTGTTCCTGGAAGAGGCTGGAGGGGTGAGACTCTTGGGGCACCCCCGTCCTCAGGACTGTAGGTGTGACATGTGATGTACTGTGCTGTCTACTCTCCCTCCCACCTGACAGATATTTTTGGTCCTCCAGAAGACTGACATGCCGACTGTGTATCTTAACATAGTGCCTTACATCATGTTGTGCAGTTATGTTTGCCTCTAAACTTGTAGTTGTCTTCCTGGTATTTGGGTTTTTGTTCTCTACAGCTCTCTGGTAAAGCAGTTTTCATGGCGTTCAAAACAACTCCATTCAAGTCAGAGCACATGCCTTGTTGACTAAATCCCAAAAGAGGACAACTCCCAGCAGGTCTTGGTCAGGAGAGCTTCCTCTTGGAGAGTGTCATTCTAGAGCTACCTGGAGTCGAGTCCCTTATTGAACTTGGATGTCCTTTTTGGACCTTTCTGAGGAATGACTACCAGAACTGTGTGTGGTCACATAGCTACACTCTGGAGTTTTACATACAAAGGAGTTTTTTGGTATCTTTCTCAGTGCTGTGGGAAGACAGAGGGTTAGGCAGTGAGGAAACTGACTCACACAGAAGGCATGGGTTTCAGCTCTGCTTCTGTGGGGCTGCGGGCTCTTGGGGAGGGTGACTTGGCACAGGAAGAGGAGAGAGATGGGGCAGCGGTTTGGGTGGTTATGGCTGCGGGACTCCATTCTGGGCTGGCCCAGCTGGAGAGGTGGCTCTTGTCCTTGGTCACTCGCGTGGCTAGTATGGGCTCGACTGGGGTACTGAGTGGCTGTGCTTCGGTGTGTAGTCTTGGGACCGCTCCTTTCCCTTCTCTCGCAAGGCTCAGGACTCCTCAGCACAGAAGCAGTGGCTGCCTGGCCTTCTCCAGGCTGAGACCTGGAGCCAGCCTACTGCCTCTTCCCCCCATTCATTGGCCAAATAGCTACAAGCCCAGACCAGGTTCAGGAGAGGTGAGGCTGTGAATACTAGGAGGCACGGTTTATTTGGGGCTGCCAGCATAATATCTAGGAGCCTCTGCTTGTCTGTTCACCTCCCAGAGGGGAGAGGTTGTGAATGGGAAGCGTCTTGGCAAGGCTTCTACTGCCCCTACCTGGGACGCCCAGACCCACGCTCCAGGGAGCTGCCCGCAGACCTCAGCAGGGGGCCGTGCAGTGCAAAGGCCCTCACCCTCATTTTCACCCCAGCCACATGAGACAAGGCACTGACGACATGGCTACCCTCAGCTGTCCTTTGACCTCATCAGTTAACTATCTGCTGGTGCGTCTGACTTCATGGGCATCCTGACCTTGGTCCACTCAGCTTTGCTTCTCTCTTTGGGAGACCTGAGTGACCCTGGAGTGGGCCTTCTCCCCAGGTGTGTCTTGGGTGCTGTGGCCCATTGTGCTCAGCTGCCAGGGCTCTGATGAGCCGAGGAGGGGGCATGTCACAACTCTACTGCCTGTGTTTTAAGCGTTGATCACCCAGGCCCATGGTGCTGTCTGTGGGACACATGAAGGGATGGACAGATGTTCCCCAAACATCTGAAGTGTGCTTGACTGCGCCTTAGTCCACAGAGGAGTTCAGCTTTGAACGTGAAAACTCTTGTCGCGGGACCTGAGAAACTGAAGTAAAAAGACCGCCCCCTTTTTCTGATTCTCTGTGGCTGTGGGGTGGCGGGGCTCGCCCAGCTGCTGAGCTCTGGACAGCTCCTTTCCCACCTCCTGAGGTGGCTTACATCAACCTGTCATGACCACGAAATTAGGATCCTCCTCAGTAGCAGGTCCCAGGCAAAAGTGACGTTCCCAAGGGCAGCCTGGGTCCTGGGCCAGAGTCACAAGCCTCATGTGCCACGATCAGTGTGGGCCGCAGGGGTTTGTGTTTCCTGCAGAATAGCCTTGGCTCCAGGCAGCTGCAGTTAAGCCCCTAGGGTGAGATCCGTCTGGAGTGCCGACACCCTTGGGTGTCACATCTGTGACTTTGCTCTCCTGCCCTGCCCATCTCACCGTCATGTGGAAACCTGTGGCTCCTTTTCCTCCTTGCGCTGCCGTTGGGTGCCTAGCACTGGGCCAAGGGACCCACTGTGCTCTTCTCAGCAGGGCCTCCATGTTTTTGACAAGAACGCTGCAATGCCCGTGGTTTTGCAGACCCAGACCCAGATCTACCTCTCGCTTGTTTCTTCCCTCTCTCCCTCCCCCTCCTCCCCCTCTTCCCCCACGAGCCTCTAGGCAGACCCTGAGCTGCCACTCTGAAACACCCTTGATTTGATGGTCTTTACCTGGAAAGAAGACCCCTTCTTTGATGGTGCCTTCCTTGGTTCTCTGTGGGGGGCCCCCCTGCAGACTGCTGGCCTGAGGTTGTTCTGCAGAGGCCCCCGGGAGCCCAGTGAGGCTGGCCCAACCCTGCCTGCCTGGTTTTGCCTCTGTGACCGTTTCTAGGTCTTGAGTAACTCGCTTTTCATCTGTGGGCACAGAAACACTCCATCGGGCGAGTGGCAGAGCTCTCATCCCTTCGGACCTGAGCCCCCTGGGACAGCCCAGAAGCCTCCAGAGCTAGTGCAGGTAGAGCTGCGTGCAACCCGCAGCCCTAACCTTCCCCTCTGGCCCTCCTGTGACTCTCGTCCCCCATGGGCTCTGCCTCTGGTCGGGCCGAACTCACTCCCCAGGTGCTGGCAGGCTGTGTCCCCGAGCTGATGACCCAGGCTCATCCTCATGCTGGAAATGGGTGCTGAGAGAGCTCTAAAAGCCTGGGCTCACAGCCACACCATCCCTGTGGTCTAGCTTGAGGTGCTCGGGTGACCACCTGGCTTCCTGGGGAAATGGGCTGCCATCCTGTACCAGGCCACCAGTCCACCCAACCCACCCCATCCTGCCTAGAGAAGTGTAACATGGTGACAATTCTGTTAGATCGGATGATCACGGCTCAGGGGACCATATGGCACCTGGTCTCATCCCTCTCATGTGCTTTCTGCAGGTGCATTACTGCTTAGAGTGGTCCCTTCCCCCTCCTCCTCCACCTGCTCTCTCTTCCTTGTTCTATGCTGTTCCCATTTGACTTTTTTTTTTTTTGAGTTGGAGTCTCTATCACCTAGACTGGAATGCAGTGGCACGCTCACAGCTACCTCAGCTTTGACCTGCTGGTCTCAGGCTATCCTTCTGCTTCAATCCTTCAAGTAGCTTTTTTTTTTTTTTTTTTTTTTTGAGTTAGAGTCTTACTCTGTTGTCCAGGCCGGAGTACAGTGGCACACTCATAGCCACCCCAGCGTCGACCTGCTAGACGCCAGCGATCCTTATGCCTCAGCCTTCCAAGTAGCCAGAACTACAGGTGTGCTCTACCACACCCGGCCAATTTTTTATTTTTTGTAAAGACGAGGTCTTGCCAAGTTCCCCAGGCTGATCTCGAACCCGCGGGCTCAGGCAATCCACTCACCTCAGCCTCCCAAAATGCTGGGATTACAGGCTGAGTCACCGACCCCGGTCTGATTTTTTTATTTTATTGTAGGGACGAGGTCTTACTAAGTTGCCTAGGCTGGTCTTGAGCTCAAGCAATCCTCTCACCTCGGCCTCCCAACATGCAGGGATTATAGGCATGAACCACTGTGCTCGACCTGTTTGGTTAAGTCATCCCTTCCTCCCTGGGTCTCTGCTCTCCCTTTTCCTGGAGCCCAGGGGATCTGATGTGGCCTTGATTTCTCTTCCCAGACCTTGGACCTCTCCAATAACCAGCTGAGCGAGATCCCAGCTGAGCTTGCAGACTGCCCCAAGCTCAAGGAGATCAATTTCCGAGGGAACAAGCTGAGAGACAAACGCCTAGAGAAGATGGTCGGGGGCTGCCAGACCAGGTCCATCTTGGAGTACCTGCGCGTGGGAGGGCGAGGCGGCGGCAAGGGCAAGGGCCGGGCAGGTGGCTCCGAGAAGGAGGAGAACCGGAAGAAGAGGAGAGAGCGGAGGCAGCGGCGGGACGGCGGCGAGGGGGACGAGCAGGAGGTGGGCGATGCAGCCCGGCTGCTGCTCAGGGTCCTGCACGTCTCCGAAAACCCGGCACCCCTGACCGTCAGAGTCAGCCCCGAGGTCAGGGACGTGCGGCCGTACATTGTGGGCGCCGTCGTGCGTGGCATGGACCTGCAGCCTGGGAATGCGCTCAAGCGCTTCCTGGCCTCCCAGGTGGGTGCACGGGGCATGGATGGGGGGCAGTGGGTCCCAGGGAGAGGCAGAGGGCTATGTGGCTCAGTGTGTGTGTGCGCGCGCCTCAGTCTCTGCCCCTTGAAAACAGGAGTTCTGGCTCAGGTGTTGTGAGGACAGCGAGAGGCAGGATCTGGCCCCGCAGTCCATAGTGGGAGCCCCGGGAGGCAGATGTTCCCACCCTCGAGGGCCCCTCTTCACACTGTCACTTGCCTTGCCTGGTCGGGCCCTGCCACCTGCCCCTTGCTCCACTGCATACAGCCTTGCGATGTATTCTGATGTCTGAAGTCAGCTCTGTTGCTGTTGAAAGTTGGCGTTCCTTGAGCTTGCTGATATTTTGGTGGATTCTCTGATTTCTGCAATAAATCACACACTTAGTTTTATTTTTTTATCTTTGAGTCAGAGTCTCACTCTGTAACCCAGGCTGGAGTGCAGTGGCATGCTTACAGCCACCGGAACCTTAACCTGCTGGGCTCAGGCAATCCTTCCACCTCAACCTTCCAAGTAGCCGGAACTAAAAGCACACGCCACCATGCTGACTAATTTTTTGATTTATTGTAGAGATGAGGTGTCACCATGTTGCTCAGGCTGGTCTTGAACCCCTGGGCTCAGACAGTCCTCTCACCTCTGCCTCCCAAAGTGCAGGCATTACAAGTGTGAGCCACCATGCCCGGCCCACTCAGTTTTATGTAAGACAGTGTTAACATCATCAGCTCTGGCCAGCACATTCTATGTTGATTGTTGTTCTTTTGTTTAGGTTTTGGAGAGACTGACGTCCCAGTTTGTTTTTCTGTGACGCCTGTCACATAAAAGCACATCTTTGCACAGGGGAAGCCTGCGTGCACCCACTGGGCTGCACAGCTGTAGACACAGCTGCAGCAGGCCATGAGTGCTGTCTCACATCCTTCCACCTGTGGTTCAGGGGTAACACGCATACCGTGCCCAAGGCTGCAGGGCCTGGCGGTTGGCGTTTGTAAGAAAAACATGCTGCGATGATCTTTAAGTCATACTTTTATTTACTCAGCCATAAATTTAGTTCAAGATGGGTTCTTTGAAATCTCAAACACTGTGTTCTAGAACTAGAGAAAAGAAATTCTGCTGATAAACAGATGAGATCATTTTCCTGATAATGATTCCACAGAATAAATCTTTGGTCAGCAGGGCAGGGAGGAGTCGGACAGGGTCACAGCTGTGGGGTGAGGGCTGAGGCCCAGGAGTGCCCTGGCATGTGGCCTGGAACATCAGGGGCAGTGCTGCACTGTGCTCTGGTGACCAGAGTCTTACTTATCTTTGCTTGTGTGTCATAGACCAAGCTCCACGAAGATCTCTGTGAGAAGAGGACGGCCGCCACCCTTGCGACTCACGACCTCCGTGCTGTCAAAGGACCCTTGCTGTATGGAGCCCGGCCCCCGCAGGACCTCAAGGTGCCACACCACCGCCCTCGCTGCCTGCTCTGGGGGTCTCCTCTACATCTCTCAGGAAGAAGCGTATGTGGTGACCGAGCCAAGCTTGTAAAGTAGAATGCAGCATGGCTCCTAGCAGAGATGCTGTCACTATGAAAGCAGTCACTTAGCCACAGAAAACTCAGCAAGGGGGCAGTGATTGGAAAGTGGTTTCCCACCCTTGCTGACTAACTTTTAGCCAGAAATATTGGTCTAGATCCTGATTGCAAAACCCCTTGTGTGGGCTGACATTTGCGTGAGTTGCTGCCCTGGGGTGCTGTCCCCGGGCTATTGAATTCCATACAGTGCTCCAAGGTCCCACAGGGTCCCCTGTGGCTGGCAGCTCAGTCCGCCTCTCCTCTGTGGACCTTCTGAGGATGGCAGGCCCTTGGAAGTGCAGGGTGCGTTAGCTAGCTTTAAGGTGAAGCTCAGCTTCAGAAAGATCTGAGTGTTTTGGCATCAGGTTCCCAACGGGACTGTGAAGATGCAGCCTACATGCAGCCTCTTGTTTCTTGTCACGTGGTGGTCCCTTCCCTGGCATGGAGATCAGTGAGGGAAAGTCGGGAGGTTGTTTGGGCTGGGCTAGCAGGGTGGGTGGGTTCCGCGGCTGTGGTCTAGTGTAGCCTGTGGGTTTCTCCCCAACAGATCATCCCCTTGGGGCGGCGGGAGGCCAAGGCCAAGGACCTGGTGCAGCAGCTGCAGCTGGAGGCTGAGGAGCAGAGGAAGCAGAAGAAGAGGCAGAGCGTCTCGGGCCTGCACAGGTGGGTCAGCGCCAGGCGCGGGCGGTCTTGGCATGCCAGCCTCCGCTGAGTTGGCTCAGGCTCCTCAGTGAGCGCTTGAAGTCACCAGACCCAGAAGCTTCTCCTTATAGGTATGAAGAGAAAGAAACCAACCTCCCATGCGTCCTTCAGAAGGAAGGGGTGCTGAGCCTGTCTCATAGATGGGCTGGATGCGGGAGCAGAAGGTGTTAGGGCAGACGTGATAACCGTTAGGAAAGGAACATCAAATGCAGCCTAACCTGCCGTGCTGTGCAGACCCCGTGCTGCTGGGACACACCCCATCAGGGACGATCTACTCTCACTGGCCCAACTGCTATTCCTATGTATACTGGGGCTCCAGAAGACTTTCTCCCATAAGAATTTCATACTTGGGCCCTTGATGTTATACTGCATTTGTCTAAAGAACTTTTTTTTTTTTTTTTTTGAGTTGGAATCTCACTCTGTCACCCAGACTGGAGTGCAGTGGCCACTCCCGGTCACCGCAGCCTCGACCTGCTGGGCTCCGGTGATCCTTCCGCCCCAGCCTTCCAAGTAGCCGGAATTACAGGCATGTGCTACCACCCCTGGCTGATTTTTTGATTTATTGTAGAGATGAGGTCTCGCTGCCCAGGCGGGTCTTGAACCCGCAGGCTCAGGCAATCCACTCACCTCAGCCTCCCAAAGGCACAGGATTACAGGCTGAGCTACCGAACCCGGCTCTAAAGAACTTTAAAAAATTTTTTTTGCTATGTTGCCCGGGCTGGTCTTGACCTCTTGGGCTCAAGCAATCCTTCCACCTCAGTCTTCCAAAGTGCTGGAATTACAGGTGTGACCATGCCAGCCACAGAGAACTTTTTGATTTGTCCAGTTTAACCTTTAGGGTTTTTTTTTTTTTATAGAGAAGCCTATAATTTGTATTTCTTCCCACACAGATATCTTCACTTACTGGATGGAAAAGAAAGTTACCCTTGTCTTGTGGATGCAAATGGGGATGTGATTTCTTTCCCTCCAATAACGAACAGTGAGAAGACCAAGGTAGGGCAGTGTGTATAATGTGGTGTCTGGAGGCTGTTCCATGTAAACATAACACAAGTGTTTACTCCATCATGAAGCCCCACGGATGTGCATGATAGAAAATGCAGACCAGAGGGGATAGAAGGGCTCTGGCTCCTCGGAGCTGTGGCCACTGCTCACACTCAGTGCCACGTGATGGCCAGGACACTGCATACGCAGTGCTCCAGGCCTCTTTCTGTAGGAAAGGACAGGTGTTTGTGTAACACCATTTTCTAGATTTTTCTTCAGAACACATGTTGCAGACAATGATTTCTACTTTTGGTAACCTTTTCTGCAATCTTTCTTTTAAGATTAAGAAAACAACTTCTGATTTGTTTTTGGAAGTAACGAGCGCTACCAGCCTGCAGATATGTAAAGATGTCATGGATGCCCTCGTTCTGGTGAGTGCCCAGCAGCCAGCGTCTCCTCCTGGGAATGGGCTTTCTGGTACGAGTGCTGGGTGGCGCTTTGCTTTCCCCTTCTGTGCATGCTGCCTCTCGCTCACTACACTGGTGGCAGCACCCCATCTTCCCTGGGTCATCCCTCATCTCTAGGTTGACAGGCTATTTCTCACTTGCAGAAAATGGCAGAAATGAACAAATACACTCTAGAAAATAAAGAGGAAGGCTCCCTCTCAGATACAGAAGCTGATGCGGCTCCCGGACAGCTGTCCCACCCCAACGCAACTCCAGGTGCTGGGAAGGATGGGCTCTCCCAGCTGGTGGTGGAGCAGGTCCGTGTGGTGGACCTGGAGGGCAGCCTGAAGGTGGTGTACCCATCGAAGGCTGACCTGGCCACCACTCCTGCCCACGTGACTGTCGTCCGTTGATGCGCAGAGGCCATTTGTGTAGCAGGTCCCTGTGTGTTCTGCCTGTTTTATGGAGGTTTATATGTGGTGATGTTAAATTATTCATTACATCTTCACTTCAGTACTTTTTAAGATATACGTATTCTTTGTTCTGTTTTTCCAGATAATTCTGTTGTGAAGTGATGCTGTGTTGTCATTATGACACCAGGCGGATTTTACTCTTTTTTATGAAATTATTCAGATATCAGAATTACCTTTTCGAAATGTTCTGAATCATGTAGGTGCGTGGCAAATTACTCTGCTTACAGGAAAAAAGGTGCTATGTAATCATGCGCCATGTAACAATGTTGGGGGTCAGTGATGGACCACATTCACATGGTGGCCTTGTAGGATGCTCACAGGGCAAGCGTGGGGCTGACACGTAGCTCTTGGTGTGGCATTGCAGAGCATGCAGGAGCATGACTGATGTTCTGTGATGGTGCTGGACACTGGGTTTTCTGTGCAAAAGATATACAGGAGTAAAAATACGTGTCCCTGGATTGCCTGAGCCCGTGGGTTCGAGACCCGCCTGGGCAGCGAGACCTCATCTCTACAATAAATCAAAAAATCAGCCTGGCGTGGTAGCACATGCCTGTAATTCCGGCTACTCAGAAGGCTGAGGCGGAAGGGTCGCCGGAGCCCAGCAGGCGAGGCTGCGGTGGCTGGGAGCGGCCACAGCACTCCAGTCTGGGCGACTGAATGAGACTCCAACTCAAAAAAAAAAAAAAATACATGTCCCATCTGGGTTTGCATCAGTGTACTCTGGTGTTTGCACAATATGCTTCCCAGACTGTCCTTATGTGGCACATGACTACAGTTGGTGTGAATTTTCTGTTAACTTGGAAAACCAGCCGACATGCATCTCTTGAACAGCACAGTCATTCTCTGTAACGCAGCATCTTTAAATCACATGCTGCTTGTAGGCGTGCAGACTTCGTGTTTCCCAGCTTGCCGTAACCGTGAAAAAAATGTTTTTAATGTGACCTGAGAATTGGCACTGTTATTTTTCTGTATAATGCCATCGGACGCTTTGGGAGGTGGACATGTGCACACCCTACCAGCAGGACCCACGAAGCTGACAGTGCAGCTGCCCCTTGTGTGGGCACTGCCAGGCTGAGCAGAGGTGAGACTCCCTTAGTGGCTTTTACTTGCCTGCAGTTGGCAGCCAGTGACAGGCAGATGACAGACAGATTTACAAACGGTGCCGTTAGGCCCACCCATGGGAACCCACCTCCACATCGATGTGCAGGTTCCCATGGGTGAGCCTGACGGTACCGTTTGTAAACTGTCATCAGCCAGCCAAGGGACAGTTGGTGGCAGGGACTGGAGGATGCATAGGTGTTTGAGCCGAAAAATCACAAAGTATGCATGCCAGGTAAACAGTTTCTCAGCAGTTTATATTTTAGGCGTTTCCCGTTTTGACTGTCTCGGGTCCTAGGCCACCTGTGTCTGCGTGTCTTCACACGTGTGCCTGAAGCCAGCACGTGCCTGGGTTGTGAGGACCTGCAGCCTCGGAGGTGACTCTCACTGTCCCACTGCCTTGGGTCTGGCTGCAGGTTAGCTGCCCTGCCCAGTCCCTGGCTTGTCTTCACTCTGTGACACCGTTGTCTTCTTGGTGGACTCTGGCTTGAGAGGACCATGTCTGTGTTTCATGGGCGTGGCCGGTGATTTTCTAGAGCATCTGCAGGACCCTGTGACCCACACCTTCAGCCGTCAAAACCAGAGGCCTAAGACCCGGGTTGTCTGGTCACTACCAGATCTTCCTGTCAGTCCCGCTGGGGCCAGGGACTAGACAGGACAGGGAGGGAGACCCCAGCTCAGCCCTCTGTCTGGCTGTGGTAGGGGTGCCACGTGACAGCGCTCCCTTCTGTGTTGTTGCCCCCACAACCTACTTTCATGACCGTGCCAGGCAGTCTGGGCTGCTGATCTGTGGCTGGTATGGGGTCTGTCTGGCGTGGGGTGGGCCCTGCCTGAGGTTCAGGCCAGCATGTGGCCTCCCCAGGCCAGGACTCTGCTGGCCCAGACAGTTACCCTGAGAGGTCACTTTGAGTTGCTGTGGCCCAGCTTGGTGAGGAGGCTTGAGCTGCCCTCTTGGCTCTGGACTACGAGCTCCATGGCCGTGTGATAATGTGGCACCTCGCTGATGTGACGAGGGCGCCAGCTCTCGCCGTGGCCCTCCCTGCTGCAGCTTGGTGGCGTATGAGGCTGGCTCTGTGCTGAACTTGCAGCAGACTGCGTCTCCATGTTCGTCTCCATGTCCCTGTCTGCCCACCTGATTCGCTAATAAAGACATTTAATAAGAAGCACCTGGCTCCTTGCCCATAGTCCCTTCCACCAGCATCTCCAGGGGTCCTTGCTCAAAGTGTCAGGAGCATTCCTTCTAGTCCAGCGGTGGTTTACACGTGGGGAGACTGAGGACCTGGGGCCTATGCAGTCACGGCCCACTGCCATACCATCCCCACCTGGTCTTGCCAGCAGGAAGCTTGGGGCCCCTTCCTACTGTCACAGAGGACCCAGTGTCCTCCACCAGGGATCCAGGGCCCCTTGCCCAGAGCACAAGATGGACCAGAGATCTCGGGCTGCCTGGACACCACCCAGGGATACACTCAGAGGAGTCCAATCACCTGAGTCCACCCCAGCACACCCTCCTGCTCAGGAGACTTTGGGAGGGGAGGCCGGGCGGCCACTCAGCAGGGTCTGTCCCATCTTCTCCCCAACTCTCCCAGAGCGTAATGACACTGCCCAGTCTGGGGACATAACTCTAGGGGTCGTGAGCTGGAGCTGTTGCCTGCACCCTGGCCACTCTGGTATCTGGCCGGGGTCAGGAGGTCACTCATGGAGGCAGCTCAAGTGGAGGATGTGGGCACCATGAGCATCCGGTCCCATGAGTACTCAGACCTCTGCCTGTGGCCTCCCCTGCAGGACTGGCAGGGGTGCTGGCCAGATCCTGGCTGGATCCCAGCATCAGCCTCCGCCATCTGCTGCTGCTGGCCACTGGCAGGGTGGGTGTCGCCGGAGTCAGACCAGCCAGGGAAGCTCAGGGTCACTTCCTCTGTGTGCTGAGCCAGGGCACCCCTCCCCTCGGTCCTGTGCCCTCACCTGACTCCTGGCCAGAGCTGCACCAGGCCTTGGGGTGGCGCAGCCCTGGAGGTTGGGAGCAGACCCACAGAGGCCACACAGCCCTGTGGACTCTGGCCTTCCCGACAGCCTCGCAGCAGTGCCACCCTTGCCCAGCTCCAGGAGAGACTCCAGCTGCTCCCATGTCCCCGAGGGTGGCTGGACATTCGGGGTCTTTCGGAGATAGGTGCTGTGGCTCAGGCTCTCACAGCCGGGGCAGGCAGCAGCCTGGAGGCCAGGTTGGCTGGAGCAGGCTCCCAGGGATGCATTACTGTTCGGAGGCCCCAGCCCAGGGCAGGCCCTCTCGGCTTCGCTCCTTGGGGTCATAGCCAGGGCAGTGGGTAATCTCCAGTGTGGCCCCGTCTGCCACCGCCTGGCCCTGGACAGTCCTTGAGTGGGCCCATGTTCCCCGAAGGTGTGTGGTGTGGGGCCTCTCCCTTCTTGCCCAGCCTGGCCAAGCCCCTCCTGTTTGTGGGGTGATGGGAGGGCACTGGTGGGTCCTGGCCTAGGGCAAGTGAGGCCTCCATTTGATGCTGGGTCTTGCCCCATGGCCTCGCTCTGCTGTACCCAAGAGGACAGTAGCTGCCCTCATGTCACCCACCCCCAGCCCTGGGCTGAAGGGCGTGTTTTCTAAGGGAATGTTTCAGACTAGGGAGTGGAGCCCAGGACAGGTGGCCAGGAGATGGGACTGAAGGCCATGTGTGCCGGTGAGGTCGTGTCTGTGTGGGTGAGGTGGGAACAGGTTCTGGTGTGTCCTGGCCCTCAATTCTGCCCTGTGTTCTTGCCAGAGGGCCCAGCCAGGAAAGGGCACATTCCAGGGCCCGGAGCCAACAGGAGGGGCCGGCCCAGGAGGGACAGACCTCCCTTGGCCTCTCATGAGTCACGCCTGGCTGGGCAGCTGCCATTCATTCCACAGACCTTTAATGCCTCAGTGCGCAGGCTCAGCCCACACATGTGGAGGAGCCAGGCCCTTCCCGGAGGACATGCCTAGCCCCTATGCAGAGGCAGCCCAGGAAGGACTATGCCCACTTCACTGAAGGAGACATGGTGGCAGGTCTGGGACAAGGGCCGGGTCTGGCTCCTTGCTTTCCACAGGAGACATCTAGCCTGGGACTTCGTCCCCTGGGGAAGAGTGGGCGGGGACACACAGCCCTTGTCAGAGCCATCCTTGTATAACCAGAAGTCAGGAAGGCCCCGAGAGGGCGTGTCCTGCCCAGGGCCACACAGAGGAAAGCAGCAGGGAGGACCCCACTGCTAGGGTTGCCAGGAAGCATGGGCGCGGCTTGTCCGCAGAAGACAGACTTCATCTTGGTCTCAACAAGGGAGGGGCCTGGCCTGGGACTGGGGAAGCTGTGGCCAGGGACTCTGGGCTGCAGGGCTGGCCTGGGTGTGTTTCACGGCTCTGGTGGAGGTTGGCCATGGTGTCCCAGCCATGAGTACCCTGGGTGGCTGCGTATTGGGGTGTTTGTCTCTTGGTCCTGTGAGGACTTGTGTGTCAAGTGTGTGCCTGGGCACTCCCTGACACCTTATGTCTTCTTGGGCTGTGTGCCAGCTCGTGTGCCCTGTGCAGTGTGTCTGCCCCTGGGGTCCATGTGTACGAGGGATCCGTGTATGAGTCTGTATATGTGGGAGTGTCTGTGTACATGGAGATCCATGTACATGGAGTCTGTGTATATGGGAGTCTGTGTTATAGGGGTCTGTGTATATGAGGGGATCGGTATATGGGCATCCATGTATATGGAGTCTGTACATAGGGGGTCTTTGTATATGGGGGAATCTGTGTTATAGGGGTCTGTGTATACCAGGCTCCCTGTATATGGAGAGTCTGTATATGGGACCATCTGTGTATAAGGTGAGTCCGTGTATACGGAGGTGTCCCTCTGAGCACGTGCAGCCACCTAACATGTGCACACCAGGCGGCCCTTATTTGCACTTGTGCACGTAGTAGCCGGTGACATAGCCCAGGATGAAGATGACCCAGAAGAGGGCCACTCCGCCCAGCACCTTCATGGCGATGCCCAACCTGCCGGTGCACAGCTTCCGGGAGAGCCTAGGGTGAGAACACCTGCAGGTGAGCCCCAGGCCAGGGCCTCAGGAGCGTCCCAAGTGGACTGGAGGGGAGGTCGGGCCTGGGGGGGTGAGGCTGGGGCCTCTGCTGGGGCTGGGCTGGAGCAGTGGGCGGGCCTGGAGGGCAAGGGGGCCGCAGCAGGGACAGGGAGTGGGCGGCCTGTGGGCCAGTGGCAGCCATCCAGTCCTCACCTCTGGCAGCACGAGGCCTCCTCTGTGCTGGACATGGCCGCCACGCTGACCTCATCCCGGCTGCTGTCATCCCATCTGCTGTAGTGAACGCCGCTCTCAGGGGACTGCATGCTGTCGCTGTCTGGGTGGCCAGAGGCTTTCACAGCCAGGGAGACTGAGGCAGGCACTGGGACTCTGATTTCACTGTAAAGGACAGCGCCATGGAGGGCAGTGGCCAAGGCTCTGTTGAGGCTGCTGTCGGGGAGAGGGACTACCTGGGGCTGGTGAGGGCTCATCTGACTTACCAGATGACCCACACAGTGGTTAAATAACTCGCCCAGGGTCACACTGGGAGGACGGGACCAAGCAGGAATTTCAGCTGAAGGAGGGAGAATGGCAGCCAACCCCTGCCTCAAGAATGCAAGAGGCCATGTGTCCACTCCTCAGGGCCTCTCCCAGGGTGTTTTTATCAGGAAGGGCTGCACAGCTGGCCTCTGAGGAGGATTCCGTGGCCCAGCCAGGCTGCCGTGGCCCCTGATAACTCTTCCTCCTCACCCCTGCCAGATAAGGCCCTGTGCTTCCCCCTGGGGAGTGGCTGGTACGGCCACTGGCAGCCTGTGGGCCAGCGGTGGCTCATCCAGTCCTCACCTCTGCCAGATAAGGTCCTGAGCAGGCCCGGGGCAGTGGCTGGTACAGCCGGTCCCTGTCAGGGAGGAGGCCTTACTGGCCTGGGGCAGCAGCTGTCCTCAGCCTGTGAGTGGCAGCTCCTCCCCCATCCACCACTGCTGGGAGGGGCCAGGGCTTGGGGGAACACTGTGCTGAGGACTGGTCCTGTGAGGGCCAGGGTTTGGGGAGGCCCTAGGAGGGGCAGGCCTAGGCCCTGCTGGGCATCCTCTTTGCATGGGGGTCCTTAGCCTAGAACCCCTGCTGGGACTGAAACGGGGGCTTGGGGAGGGATGTGCAGCTGCCTGGTGCTGGCGCTGCTGGTGTGCTTCTGGGTGCCTCATGTACCCTCCAACACCTGAGAGGCGTGGGGCCGCCAGAAATTGAGAGCTCACCCAGGCTGTGGGACTGGGGCTAGGTCTCTGGTCTTCGGGCCCAGATGTTGGGTCCTCAGGTGGGCAGCTCCAGCCCCCGACTCCTGGGCTAAGACGCCAGGTAGTCCTGCACGCAGAGGCTTCAAGGCGTGGTGGGTGGTTTACCTGCGAGGCCAAGGTGGAGCTCAGGAACCGAGGTGGTTCTAAGCCCCCACATGCTTCTGCAAGTGCAGACCCCAGACTGGGAGGAAGGAGGGAGCAGTCTCGAAGCCACAAAGTATGCCTTCGGGTGAGACCCTTCCCTGTGGTGGCCACTGGTGCAAAGGCCTGGGAGACCAGGTGTTGACTGGAGCGTGAGTAGAGGGACCATCAGCCAAGTCTACCCACTGACCACCCAGGGTCACACCCCTTCCTCCTGGTGTACAGAGTCCCAGTCCTGTTCAGCAGCAACTTCCAGCCCTGGGTGACAGCCGTGACTGGACTAAGACAAGCTTACTATCCCCAGTTACTGCTTTCCCAAGTCACCCAGCTGTTTGTACAGTGCCAGGGTGCAGTGGGGATATGGGAGGTTTTACTTCCATGAGAGAAACAGCAGCCACCTCCTTCTTCCTACCGGGATGTGATGGCTGGAGCTGCAGCAGCAGCATTGCACCTGACATCCAGGTGCTATCAGTCCTGCCAGTGCTGAGTCTCCCAGTCTACACCTGCTCTTGGGTCTGGGGCGAAGAGAGTCACCCCCAGGCTGTTCAAGCCTGGGATGCCAGGTTCCTGCTAGATGCTGAGTGGAGTATGTGGCTCTCAAGTCATCCTGGTGACAAAGCCACCAGAGCCAGCCAGGTGCCTAAAGCCAGGCTCCAGAGGGTGTCCCTCCCTCACTCGATTCATTCCAACACCACATGACATCACAGGTGTGGCAGCAGAAGCCTGTCAGGGATGTCCTCCAAGCCCTGGGAACCTCAGGGGGTCCCAGCCCCTGAGGTAGGGTTGAGCATAGGAAGTCCTAGGCACACAGTGACCCCACAGACCACCTTCACCCCCACAGCACCACCAGGTCCCACACTTACAAGGGAGAATCCTGCCTGAGGGCTGAGGCCTCTGGACCCAGGAACTGGCCAGGGACTGGCCAGCGGCCTTCACCTCCTCTCAGCCGGCAGGACAGGGTCTGAGGGCGGCGGATGCCTCAAGCCTTGAAAATTAAAGAAGACAAGGTGAGGAGAGGAGCAGCCCTGCTAGGGGCCAGGGAGGGGAAAGTGGCCCTGTGTGTGTGTCCCCAGAGGCCACCACCAGCTGAGCGCAGTTCTGCAGGTTAGGCCAGGGGTGGGGCCAGGGTACGCGCACCCCAACCCCCCCAATTTCAGGCCAGCGAGGCCGCGCCCAGGCCCACCTCCTCGCTCCGGCCGCCCCGGGAAGTACAGCCCAGACCCCGTAGTTCTCACCTGCGCACTCGGCT